TTGTGTTGTAAAAGTGCTGTAGAATCACTTTGTGTTTGAGGGGGCACATCACTGACAAGAAAATTTGTATTCCCTTTCCTAGTTTATGACGTTGTGAGGAATTATACTGCCGATTATGACAAGGCACTCATCTTCAATAAGATCCATCATGAACTCAACCAGTTTTGCAGCATCCATACCCTTCAAGAAGTGTACATTGAGCTCTTTGGTAAGTCTCACTATGTTTTGGCTCCACTCCTTCCTACAGAAAGTCTTTGACATTTGGGGCACATTATTTCCCAGCAATCCTCATTATTGGTTGTTCCATTACCTGCAGTTTCACATATTTTGTGATTGGTAAATATAGAGCAGACCTTGTTATCCATGATAAGAGGTTTTGCATAGGCATGTAGTTCTGTTGGAGGATGGCTTTTGGAATGCTTTTGTCTATTTCATGTATTTTCACAATGGGCTTTTCCACATTTAGGTAGTCCTTGACCTATGATAGCAATTAGGACTGGAATTTCCATTGCTAAGTTGTAAATTAGTTAATTAAATTTATTTACCATTTATCTTGCCATGAGGCTACTCTAGCGATTTACAACAACAATAAGTCTTAAGCAATAAAATATTTAGCAATAAAATATTTTTATTTATTTATTTAGCAACAAATATTGTCATCGTTAACTGAATCTCATGATGACTAAGCAAGGCAACTTCCTGTCAGCTTCCCACAACCAATGGGGAAGCTGGAAGGAAGTTATTATAGGCTGGTAGGCAGGTAAGTGGTTGCTGCTGGATAGTGGAGGAGACTGCTGCACATCCTCACAAACCCTCTTTGCTGCACATCCTCACAAACCCTCTTTGACCTATGCCATGAGATACATGGCATAGGTCAAAGAGGGTTTGTGAGGATGTGCAGCAGTGCACAAATAGCCAGTGGAACCTGAGCATAGTGGGGCTGGGGGTGTGTGCAGCTGGGGGGGGGACTGACCCCAGCAAGTTATAATTAAACCTATTTAAAATATGTTTTGGAAGGTTTTGTTATTTGCAATTTTATTATTGCAGTATAAGAGAAGAATCTACCTCAAGCTCGCTGTATAGTGCTCCTTCCTTAGATATCTTTGGTAATATTTATTGTTTTAATGTTTTATATTCCCATTTTTATTTTGATCCAAGCCACTTAGAGTCACTTGATGGAGAAATGAGCCGCATATAAATGTAATCTTTTAAATACCTGCAGCGGTTAGCCTGAAATGGAACCCCGTTGATGCCCTACATTCTTTTTTCATGAACCTTGGCTAAAAGCAGAGTAGTAGCTATTTAATCTCAGTTCCCTCTCTAGAATCTGTTGTTTCTGTGTGTCATATATGTGGATATATGCATAATTTTGTATTTGTTTGTCATGCAAGTAGTGTATATTGTAGGGGGTGACCCCTTGAGAGTTGTATGCAACAAGATTTCATTTTAATGTATGCTGATTAGAGTACATCCAAAGTGACAATAAGTCATTCTATATTTCTATTCTATTCTGTTCTGTTCTATTCTATTCTATTCTATTCTATTCTATTCTATTCTATTCTATTCTATTCTATTCTATTCTATTCTATTCTATTCTCCCTTCCATTCCCTTCCATTCCATTCTATCTGAATAGATGGCATTGCCATGAGCAGTGCTGACAGAAAAAGCTTTGAGCTCTGGCATGCGTCTCTAGTTAACTTACCCCATTAGTTTGTTTTTCTTTCTACCAGATCAGATTGATGAAAACCTGAAGCTGGCACTACAACAGGATCTGAATACCATGGCACCAGGCCTTACCATCCAGGTACTACCTATGATTTGCCTGTTGCATATCTGTTTGAGTGATGGAAAGAGATTGAATCAGAACACTGGCTGGGAAGGTCGCAAATGGTGATCATGTGACCATGAAATGCTGCAACCATTATAAATTTGTGATGATTGCCAAGCGCTCAAATCATGTGACTGCAGGATGTGGTGACAGTTGTAAGTGCAAGAACTTCTTATAGGTAACTTTTCCATGCTGTTGTAACTTTGAACGGCCACTAAACGAATAACTGTAAGTCGCATGGCTGACTGGGGAATCCTAAGAGTTGACATTCACCCATCAAGCTGCCAAACACTGGTATAGAACTTGTGCTTGGGAAATGCTTTTTGGCTATTGTTTAATTACGACATTTGATTGTTTCTGCACAGGCTGTGCGTGTGACAAAGCCCAAAATCCCTGAAGCAATCAGAAGAAATTTTGAACTCGTGTGAGTATAAGAACACCCTCTTGGATCAGATCAGAGGCACACGTCCAGCATTTTGCTTCTCATGAGTTCAGTTGATACCTCTGGGGTACTTATAAAGCAGGATGTGGATGTAATAGCATAGAAGTCTCCATCTCCGGATTCCAAGTCTTCATTTGGATTTCTGATGAGTTAAATTGAGACTTTTGTAAAGATGTATTCTTGTGTCGAGGATGGAGATAATTTCATAGAGGTGACCTTTCAGGTAGGTAGCTCAAGAAGCCGATTTCTGCTTTGCAGGGAAGCAGAGAAGACTAAACTCTTGATAGCTACGCAGAAGCAGAAAGTGGTGGAAAAGGAGGCTGAAACAGAAAGGAGGAAGGCAGTCATAGGTAATGAGCTTTGCCTTCATTTGTCAATAGTGTCCGTCCGTCCGTCCCCTCCGACTGTCTCTGGGCTGAATATTCTCTTTTGGTCAAAAAAAATCTGAGTGTGGAAACTGGCAAGCATAATAGTTGAACAATGGATCTCCTGTGTGTCAGTTAGGTATTGAAAATAGTAGCTAAATAGCAATAGCACGTAGACTTATATACCGCTTTACAGTGCTTTACAGCCCTCTCTAAGCAGTTTACAGAGTCCACATATTGCCCCCAACAATCTGGGTCCTCCTTTCACCGACCTTGGAAGGATGAATCAACCTTGAGCCTGGTGGAATTTGAACTGCCAAATTGCAGGCAACCGGCAGTCAGCAGAAGTAGCCTGCAGTACTGCACTCTAACCACTGCGCCACCATGGCTCAAATGGTCACAATTGTGGCAAAATTTTGAGGTGCCATCAATATGTGCCACATTGCTCTAAATGAAAAATATTGAGATTGACCTACTTTGGCCATTGGTTAGTTTCATGCAGTTGCTTGTGCACCTTAGCTATAACAGAATATTTAGGAGCAGGGAAGTACGTTAAGAGCAAAGATGTGCCATACATTACTCTCCTGGACTTGTCAGGATTTAACTGTGACCAGACCACAAATTGTTTCTTGTGTGCTTTAGGAAGGTTGAATAAACCTGAAGCATCGGCATACTTGACTGTTGTCACAGCCTGTACAGTTCTGGTACTTAACTGTGAATGCTTTTCAATTGCAGAAGCAGAGAAAATTGCTGAAGTGGCGAAGATACAGTTCCGACAGAAGGTCATGGAGACGTTGACAGAGAAACGAATTTCTGAGCTTGAAGGTAGCTATGTACCCTGCTAATTAGAGCCTGCTAATTAGAGATTCTGAACGATGATCCACAGTGTCTGGGAACCAGGATGGGAGGATGGTTTTCTCAATTTCCAAAGATTGGGTCAAGCTGCCTAGAAGGCTTCGTAGGCATGATTAATGTTGTGTACTGGTTCCTTTGTGGAAATATTAGTTCTTCTATTCTCTCCCTGATCTTTCTCTTCCACATCGCCGGGTTTTGGAACTGGAATAAGACTTAATGGAATCTCCTCCTGTCATTACATTCCCTCCCCACTTCTTCAAAAATCTTCCGTGATTATTTTTTTGTCCTCTATTCCAAATTTGTTCTTGGAGGCCAAAGAGAAACATACTTAGACTTCATGTATTTCACAGTGGGCTATGCTGCAGAGTTTTAGAAATGTTTATTTTGGTAACTTGAAGAAACTGACTTGATGGCTTAAAACTGAAAGTTTTTCTGCTGCCTTCTCAGATGCTGCTTATTTAGCAAGACAGAAGGCAAAGGCTGATGCGGAATACTACACTGCCCAAAAAGCAGCTGACTCAAATAAGGTGAGTTTCCTTTGCTTACAACCAGCAATCTGACCATAGTTTAGGGGGAATGAGACCACATGTAAACAAAGCCTACTTCTTTGGGGAGAAAACAAGTATGGTTGTAAAAGCATTGCCTACTAGTGGCCTGCTGTGTTTGCACTTAATTCTTGTAATGTGAATATCTTCCCGAGTGTATTTATTTATTGTTTTTCTCCTTGACAGCTGAAACTCACCCCAGCCTACCTGGAGCTGATGAAATACCAAGCAATCGCTACTAACAGCAAGCTCTACTTTGGCAGTAGCCTGCCGTCTAACTTGTTTCTAGGTTCCTCGGCGTTTGAACACATGATTGCAAGGACTGCTAAAGGAGGTCATCTTGTCTCAGAAACAGAGAAACACCATCTAAGGGCTCAAGAAAGTACGACTTGATGCTCATGCCATCTAGGCTCCTTGATCTGAACATTAATTAACTGCTCTAAATCAGGGCAGTTATTGTTCTCAAACTGCCTTATTGATAAACAGAGGAAAGGAATTAGGGATTGTGTGTGGGTTTTTTGTTTTTTTGTTTGCAGTATGAACAGTTCGACACTGAGTTTGTGTCATTCTCCAGAGCCTGCAAATCCAAAGGCTTTTTTTGACTGTTCCATACCAGAAGCTGGCTCCTGGGGATTTCAAGAACTAAAGTAATCCAAGCACTAACATTTATCATTAGAATTGGCAATTAAAATAATTGAACCTGGCTATTTGGCTCTTGTGGGAAAGTACTTGTTCCTGCATTGCAAGCAATTGTAACATAGGGGCTCTGATGTACTAGAGCTTAATAACCTCAGTCATACATTTTACTACTGGAATTTGGAAGTTGATGCTATTAACTAAGAGCTGATGCATAGCTTAGTCCCATGACTCAATAAGATACACATATGACTTCAGGGGATTTATGTACCCCAATTATTTTTGGTCCCATTTGTTGGTAAAACTATTGAGACTACTTCTTTGGCTCTGGCTCCAACTCAATTGTGTTCTTGCTGTGAAAACTTTGCTTTGGAATTTACAAATGTGTCTGAAGGAGATGCATCTCATGACTGGAAAGTATTTCAGACTTTTTTTTTAAAAAAAGTCTTGTATTTCAAATATATATATATATATATATATATGCAAAATGTTGGTATTTGGAATAGGGAAAATAAAGCTATTTTCATAACCTTTTCTAAGAATGTGTATGGTGGATTCAGTTGTTTATATTATGGACAAGTTGTTGCTAAAAAACCTCAGAAAACAGTCACTTTGCTAAAATGGTCTAGTGTTTATTGGGAGATATAGGATGAAACAGCAACTCAGTAACGTTAGAATTTTCTGTCTTCCAATCTTAAGTGTTTAAAAAGAAAACTAAAATAGAAATCCCTTTAAAATTCAGAAACCAAGACAACTTTATTAAAATCTATAACGATTGTGACATCAAGTTAGAGTTGACTTTTAGTGAATACTCGAGCAACATTCTCAAGGATGATCTATCCCCAACTTTTTCTCTCTTCAGCACTACCATCAGTGCATCCAATTACATCACTATAATTGAAGTCATATACCTTGCTGCTAGTTGTTTTCTTATTTTTCCTTCCATTATTCCCATTATAGACTGCAAGAGAGGCCTGTGTCCAATAAATAATTTCAACCTAGTACCACATTTGTGTCTTGGGTAAAAACTTACAGACTGATTTTTTTTTCTGTGGCTCATCCATTTGGTTTCTTGACCATTCATGGCATTGTTAGGCTCTTGTCCAACACCAAAGTTCAAAAGTATCAATACTTTTTCTATGCTGCTTTTTCGAACTCCAACTTTTGCTTCTATAAAGTGTCATAGGGAAAACTACTGCATGCATAATTCTGATCTGTACAGGAACAAACATCACAGCCCCCGAATATCTTCTGTGGGGTTTCCACTGTTACCAAGTGCTAATCTGTGGAATGTTTCTTTGCTGCAGTTTCCTTTAATTTTTGCCACAGTAGTAGATCCAAAAAGGTGGAAGCTATCGATCACTTCGTTATCTTGTTAATCCTGAGGCTCATTACTTTACTCGCTGCCATTAGCGAGGTCATCTTTATATTTGATCTTAATTCACCCCCCCATCCCCCATTTTGCTGCTTGGCTTTGAGCTTACAGATCCTGGGAGTTTTCACTTATCTGATTAATATCAGCATAATAATGCAAGGTTCTTCCGTTTTAAAACTATGCACATAATTTTTCTAACCAAGCTTCAGTGTCTTGATTCATATTCAAGATATAGGTTGAATAAATAGGAGACTAAACAGCCACCCGTAGTCCTTTCTTGTCCTGGGGTCAGTCAGTTTTGAAAAGTTTTCTCCAAATTGTCACTTCTGGATAGTCTATATATATGTTTTATATGAAATATTCTGGGATTTCCATTTTCATCAGAACATTGATACAACTTCAAACTATTGAAAGCCTTTTTACAACTGTGAAGCAGATACTGACTTCTTTTTGTATTTGGTTTTCTTAATTATTCAATATGCACCAGCAATGATGTATCTTATCCTTTTTTTTCCTAAATCAGTCTGGCATTTTCCTTTCCTTCTAGAATTTTAATCTAGATTGGATGATCCTAAGCATTATTTTGCTTGTATATGGGATACATCATGATAGTCTGCATATTCTGTTAAGTTATTTGGCATTGGTACATGTATTGAACTCTTCCAAACTACTGGCCATGGTGTCATTCTTCAGATTTTGTGTGATAATCTGGTTAGAACTTTTACAATTCTTTTATTGTTTGCCATGTTTCTGTAGATAGTCTATCAGTTCTTGTAGTTCTTGAGCGCTGCTCTGATTTCATCATCTAATACTAATTTGTTGAAAGTATGGAAAGTTTCCTGAAAGTATGGAATGTGTCTAAGGAATCTTGGATAATGACATTTTTAAGGTACAAAATTTCAGTAATTTCTTCCATCCTTGTTTCATTTTCTTGGAATCAGTTACTACCTGACAATGGATGTTTTTTAGCATATCAATTCAAGGCAGCAACCTTCCAAGTTCAGAGATCTTTTGGAACTCTCCATGTCTTGCGATTTTACAGATATTGTTGCAATACTACTTACTGTATCTTCCAAAGGCTTTTTGAAATAACTGTTAAGTTCATTTTGAAGATCTTCCCTGCTGAATCTTTCTTAGCTTTGCCCCTTTTCTTCGTTTCCATCTCTGTTCTGACATCTAGTTTGCTTTCTTTCTATTCCTTTATCTTTGGCAGTCTTTTTTCAAATTCCACCTTTGCAACTTGATTTTTTTCCCTCCAGAATTCCTCTGGTATCCGTCAATGTGAAATTCAGGACTTCAAAATGATTTCGTTTCACAGTGGCATTGGTGGCTATGTTCCAACAATACTTCCCAATGTGCCTAATAGATCTAAACTCCTGCTTCCTCTGCTGCTATTCCCAATGCACAGAATTCCCTCATCAGACTCTTGTTCATTGATTTTCCCATGCACCTGCACATAGGTTTATACAACCCAGACTGCAGATGAAATTGATTACATTTAATGAAACTTTATCTGAATGGAGTGTACACAACAGAAGATGGTTAAGATCTTGGCAAAAGTGCAAATACTAAAATGAGTTGGCTAGTAGCAGTGAACAATGTCCATGAAAGTTCATGTAATATTACTGATTCTACTCCAAATTGTTAATATCTGCTCAAAATAGTTGGCATCTTATTTCTTGACTGAATTGAGCAGTCACTGACACAATTAGGACTTAAACATATAAAAGTACATTTTTAAAGAACAAAGATACCACTTAGAAACACTAGTTTTTACTTACAGTACAGAAAATTTTGAATTTAAATGCTTGGATTTAAAAATATAGAAGCATTCAGAGTCACAATCCTTTATATACACTATTGTTGCTAGAGTTTGTATTTTATACTTCCACTGCTGTTCCTCAACCTTTGTGCGACGTAAGTGTTGATGAAACCAATTTTTGTGTGGCATAAATGTTGATGGAGCCATGTTGTTCTCGACTTGGCCCCTAACTCTTCCCACTTTTCTTTGGGAAAAGTACTTTCCCAAAAACCAGGCCTTTCACTGAGTGGGGACAGCAACCCTGGGAGGAGGAGCAACTTGCAAAACAGTTTTCTGGCTCCTTTCTGCAGACATATGCTCCAGTCGTTCTGTGTAGAAACCGTTGAAGTCCAATCTAGAAAAGAAAGGGTAGGGTTTACATGGGTGGACCATGGGAAGAACTGAGCTGTGCTGGACCCAAAAGTCCATCTAGCCCAGCTTCTGCTTCCCCGCGGTCACATCAGATTATGAGGGGTTGCAACTAGGATGTGAAGGGCAAAGCCTGTTCTCCAGCAACAGGAATGGAAAGCCATAGAGTCTGATCCTGAAGTGAGTATACACACACTACCAGCATAACCATTGATAACTCTTGCTCTCTAGAGTTTTATACGCAATAGATTGCTGAGGAAGAGGAATATTTTTTTTTCTGGGAGAAAAAATTCTCCTCACCTGTAGATGATATTGATCATGCTGTGTTCACATTCATTGGTGCTGTAAATGCTCAGTTTGTCCAGGAGGTCCAGCAGATGTGCAGAGAAATTGCTGTCAAACTTGTTTATTGTTGCTTCAAAGCCAGAACTTACATGCAAGGAGTCTGCCTGCTCTGCTAAAAACTGAAAAAACAAAATACAGGAAATAAAGTATCATTTCTTCTTCTCATCCCCCAAAGACTAAAACTGCAAGTGGAAGACTTCTGCAATCCTAGGTTGTTTCATGTACATTTCACAGCAAATTGATTTTTTAGAACATCAAAGGACATCAAGGCACCAAAAGACTTTTAAGAATGTGCAAATGCTACTGAGAAAAACGATTTGTAGGGTTGTACAGCGTTAAGAGAAAAGGTTCTGCACTTTCCCACATGGCATTTTTTCAAATACCATTTAGCCATAAACTATATTCTCTTTCAACTTAATAGGTTCATTTCACAGCTAGAACTATTAATTAGTGGAACGGCTTGCCTCCATTAATTATGGATGCTCCAACATTGGAGGTTTTTAAGAAGAGACTGGACCACCATTTATCTGAAATGACATAGGGTTTCCTGCCTGACCAGGGGGGTTGGATCAGAAGACCTCCAAGGCCCTTTCCAACTCTGTTTATTCACGTAAACCAAAATGAAACAAACACATGGTTTAGCTGACCAAACCATTTGTGTGACTCAGTGATTCTGATACAGCACAAAAATGCAATGGCCGAATATTTTCAAGTGCTGTGTTAGAGTAAGAGAGGTAGTGGGAAGAGCCTGGGACCCACAACATACCTTATTAGCAAGCTGCTTCTTTGCGGATTCTTCTACTCTTTCCTGTTTGGTGGGTGGGCCTCTCATAGTCCCATGCTCTACAGTGAGGCGGTCCATTTCATTATCTAGCTTCATGCTGTGGGAAAATCTCTAACAAGCAGAAAGAAAAGCAGAAAGGATGGAATATTTAAAATGCATATTAGGATTCTGCATAATTTTTCATGTTTTGGAGCCTGTGAGAGCATGAACTTAGTGCCTATTGCATACTGCCTATCTTCAAAACAGTATTGCTCTAAAGATTGTATTTAAGACATGGTAAGGGACAATTTCCTAAGCTTAATTTGCAGTATTGAAATGTGGTTGGATGGTACACATCTGCCCTCCCAGATTTTTTGACCAGCAGCAGCCATGAAGCTAATAATTTTACTTGATTTTTTTAAAAAAACTTATTTGTATGCTGCCAAGAATTGGTACAATTGCAGCAATTGACACATTTTGTAAATAAATTAAAACATTGCATTTTTTTTTCCAGACAACTGTGTAACCCTGGAAAAAGGAGTACTTAAGTACTATACACAGGTGCTTTAAAATACTTCCAACAAGTGTTAAGGTTCATGTTTCAAAGCACACATATATCACCTTTGAGGTCCTTCATACACCAGCAGGTGGCCCTTCTCAACAAATCTAGAAGAGGTATAGCTACGTGAGACCTACCTGCATGCAATTGGTGAACATAACACACACAGACATCAGCTTGGAAAAAATCTTTAGTAACTCTGGATTGGTAAGCATGCAATCCTTCAAGCAATTATCCAAGAAGCTCGTGTGGTGGCTCAAGACGTCATCAATATTGGAGGCCTATTGAAGAAGATATAACATCAATAAATCCTTCTTCCAGAAATCATGGAAAAGTAGTTAGAAGTTATCTGGTGTAATCTTGTTTGATGCTCTGCAGCACAGAATCCAATTAGTTTTTCACACAAGTGGTGGCCAATCTTAATTTAAATATTTCTCTTCAAATAGCCTTCAGGTCCTCAAGGCTTGGAGGAATTTTTCTCTCTAAAGTGTAGCTAATACTGGCTTTCATACAACTTCCAGCTATCAGTTCTAGATATGTTTTCTGCAGGAATATGGAATTAGTTTGCTCAAAACCCTCAATTTACTCAACACTCAATCTGGGAGTTAACTGGTTTTCAATGTTTATGAAATCAATCAAGTGAGCTGGAGACTGAATAAAACCAAGTAACCAACACTAAAATTAATCACATGAGCATGTTGTGAATGTTACTTTGTTTTTACTGGCCTGGCTAGAACATATTATGTGAACCTAGCCAAACTGTAGCAATGATATAGACGGGAAACATCCATCTTCCCAAATATTTAAACCAGTAAGGAAGCTAGATTAGCAATAGCTAATAAAAAAGGATGGTAACTGCTCAAGGTAGGATTGGTGATCTTTATTCTGTCTAAACAGCTAGGTATATTTCAGGAGCATTTGTGGTTTGAAGAATTGTTAAGATTTGTTCTAATAGTTGTACTTGAAAAGAATGTTTATCCAATTGCTCTGTTGCCATAGGTTACCAAAAATTTCATCCAGCCTGCTCAATACAGAATATGTTCTGAAGACTTACAGTCTAGCAGTGGGAGTTTTTTTCCCAGTATAAGACCTTCACAGTTTTGCTAATAGGCAGAATAGATGGCAGAAACCTACTAGCTCCTATAGTTTTGACTTAGCAGCACAATTAACTCTTTAGTTATTCCAGCTAATATAGTTCGATCCAGACTAACCAACTTCAGATTCTTCTCCAAAATATGCCATGTGGGTTCCATCACTTCAAACATCATATAGTATTGGATATTCTGCACAAAATTGAGCATCCGCTGACGCAGAGTAAAAGCACCCGCAAACCTAAAAAGAGAGGAACAGTGAGCCCAAGGAAGAATTCACTAATTAGGGTTGATGAAGTTATCAGGGGACAACAAACTCAAAAGAGATTATCAGGGTAGGAAGTGCAAGTTTGCCACTGACAGGTAACATGCCTCTGAATTTGGAGTGGCTGTTGTTTTATTTGCAGGAACCAAGATACAGAATCAGTGCTTGTTGTAGGTTTCAATTTTAGTTTTCACAAATCTAAACAGCTAGTTCACTTTCAGGGATATATTATGCTTCAGATAAGCCTTCGATGGCAGTTAATGAACCACATAAGTTTGTATAAGGGCAAAGAGTGAATAATCTCATATGACTTAATGCAGAGGTGTTAAAACTCAAATTTCATTGAGGGCTGTATCAGGGTTGTGTTTGACCTTGGGGGGCTAGGCTGGGTGCGGCCAGCTCGGCATCACTCATCTTGGGAGCATCTGTGGCACAGATGCTTCCAAGCTGTTTTGGCTGTGATGGCCTCCTGCAACCCTCTCCCAGTGAAAACGGAGCTCGACAGAGCCGCATGCAGCCCTTCGCAGCTCTGATTTTGTTGGGAGAGGCACTTAGGCCAGTCCTTCACTGTTTCTAGGGTGGCCCTGTGGGCCAGATCTAAGCACTCCGCAGGCTGGATCCAGCCCCCAGGCCTTGAGTTTAATACTCCTGACTTAATGTGTCATGCAAACATAGTTACCGCTATGCTTTGCAAGTAGATAGGCTGAGTCCATGACCTTGTTAACTAGTGCCAAGAAAGAAATGGCAAAAATCTAGAAGAGCCACTCCCATCACTGAATACTGAAGTACTGACAACTTCAGTCATTACAAAGCAGTTTTCTAAGAAGCAGCTTCAGCTTCAAATTTACTTAACTTTCAAATATACTTGATGTTCAGCTTTCGATCAAAACATTTAACTGGAGGAAAAGTGGGGTGAATGCTGGAAACCATTAACATAAATGAGATCTCTACCTGCTTTTCAATTTCTTTTTACTTCCTTCACTTTTAGAATGGCAGAAACAATTTATTCAGAAAGCACTAAGATTCCTCTTTGTATTTCCATAATGGGAGACAAAGAATTTCTAGGTTGGGAAACATTCCTTGGCAGGTATTACTAGATGTCAGAGATAGAAGGCTGTTTGCATAAATAGCTGAAAAACTATTTCTAGCCCATTGAACACTGAAGGATCATTTACCATTTTGATGAATGTAGGGAACACTGCTTAGCTGTTTTGCTGCTGATCCAGACATTGCACAGCTGCCGCTCCACATGTTTACAGTAAAACATGTGTCTGAAGAGCATCTGGTACCGTGTTAAGGCTTTTCTACAAGTCAAGTACGAAGATAGCAACATATAGAAGTGAAATCTTACACTATTTCTGAATTACAAACAAATGCTAAGCAAGCATTAAATTTTCTCAGAAGGAAATTTATCTACACATAAGGTAAAGAAGTCCTTGAGGATTTTATTCCGCTAGCTGTAACCGATTTTAGGCAGTGGTGTATATCTCCATTTCAAAGTCATTGAGTCAGGACTGTCCAAAGATTTTTCCAGTCATATGGCCAGCATGACATCAGTCTATAGCGCAGAGCATGTGGCAAAACATGGGGCGCTGTTACCTTACCACCAAAGTGGTACCTATTTATCTACTCACATTTGCATGCTTCCAAATTGATAGGTTGGTAGAAGCTGGGGCAAGTAATGGGAGTTCACCTTGTCGCGTGATGCTCAGGTCTCGAACCTGGGCAGTCAGCTTTCCAGCCGACAAGCTAGCATCTTAACCATTGAGCCATCACACTGCCCATCCAGGTATGGACGGTTTTTAGTCCATCCTAAACATTTCCTATATTGGGACCCCAGATGATTAAATAATCAGTGATCAAACCACTCCAAAAGTATACTGACAGCAACATATAAATGATGAGGTTCTTTCTGGCAGAAATTCATCTCCTTGGCTTACCTGTTGATGATGAGAGACAATGGCCATTTCACAATGTAATCAAAAGAAAATGCTTCCAGGCCACTTAGTGAGAGCTCTGTTGGATCAGCATTGATTATGGCCTTTTCCTGCTTTGTCTCAATGGCCAGAACTCGCAGGAGCTGTGTTATGAGATCATGTGGCATCAAGTCAATCTTGAAAGAAACCACAAGAGCAACGAGGTTAGCTTAAAGCTAAAAGTCTGACAAATGTGATATTGGAGAAAAAAAGTCTTTTTGTTAATTATAAGGCATTATTATTAAGTAATTAAGTTAGACAATGCATATAAGGGAATTTAGGGAAAAGGCATTTCTTCTACCCACAAAATATAGTCTGTTGCTTATATGCCTTATGGAATTAACCGACAGATGAGAGTTGGACAGCATATAAATGTATACTAACAATGATCATCAACATGACCTTTTGCTTTAAAAAGGCTTTCAGCTGCACTTCCTCTAAATATGGCAAATGCTGTGACTTAAATGTTTTCTTGAGTTGTTAATAGTTTATCTGCTGTTATGGTTGCTTCAGATTTTTTTTGTCCCAAAAGTTTTATATTAGTGGCTTGATAAAAGCAGAAACAGATAACTATTTAGACCTCCCAGTTTTTATCTGTGGATCTGACATCTGTCTTTATTTTCTGTCTTTATAACATCTTGTCTTCATTTCAGGCTGCAAAGAGTTTACCTTTAAATCATCTTTAAACGGGTCAGTGTTAGCTGTGCTCATACGTAATGCTAATTCCAGAAGAGCTTCCAATCTAGTCGGAATGATATCATCTACTGGTTTTTTCAACTCCTCTTCTGTCAAATCCATGAAATGGACATAAAAGTCACCTTGGTCCATAAGAAAGTAGTGCTTGATGGACCTGTTCAACAAAAAAAGTGTGTATTTTCTACAAGGAGAAATGCTAAAAAAGCCAGCACTTTCCCCTGCCTCCCCGAATCATTCTTTTAGGCAAAGCAAGGTAAAAACCATACTTTCTGAATATAACAAATGAAGCAAACTGTCAGGATTCCGGCAGTTACCCCAATTAAATCATGATTGCCACAAACCTTAAGTGAGCCACAAGTTCCTTTTCATCTATCAAGAAATCAAGCAAGACTTTGCTGGCATAATTATAGGCCTTCTCTATCTGTTCCACATATTCACGCTCCTTCAAGGTATAAACAACCTCCTTTGCCACTGGGCAAGTAACATCATGGCCACATTCCCGGACCACATTTAAGTATTTCCCTGAAGGGAGAAAGGAATAACTCAGATGAGTATAGACCGAATAAAAACTTTACATCAATCAAGGCTTAATTTGCTCTGCCTTGTGATGGAGCCAAAAGTGAGTCCACACATGGCACACCACAGATACATTTAAAAATATGTAATTATCTCTAATGGAGACAGTTTGGCATAGTGGTTAAAGGCTCAGATCAGAAACCGGGAGACTTAGTCCAGCTTTAGGCATGAAACCAAGTGAATGACCTTGAGTCACTCTCTCTTAGCCCTAAAATGTAGGCCATTGTAAGCCACTGCCAAAAATTTGCCAAGAAAACTGCAGGGATTTGTCAAGGCCAGCAAGATTCCATCCATATGGTTTTCTCTGGCTCTGTGAACAGCCATTGCTTTTTCACCTTTCACTCTCGGTTACCAAGAGAGACACATTTTTTAGGTGCTAAAGAGTATTGTTTTTCAGGAGCCTTCGCCCCCTTTCCTTTTCACCAAAACCTAAATGCTTACCTGTGCTAAGTATTTTATCAGCAACCTTTTGCAGGAAGGAGGGAATCTGTTGCTGGACAATGGTGTATCTTTGATCCCAGTACTTATCATTATAGTCCTCCTGGATCTTTTCCTTTTGGAGTTCATGTTCCTCCACCATGAATTCACTATAAAATTAAAGAAGTGAATGTTTGGGAGTGATGAAGAGCAGCAGCAGGGAAGGGCAGGCGGCAGAAGGGTGAAAGGGGAAATCAGAGTACAAAGGTAGAAAAGGATTTTTGTAGGTCTAGGTGTGTTCGGGTCTTTTCCTGTGTAAGATTAAGACTATCTTGGCAACGTTTCGGCAGGGTCCCACTCGCCACCCTCAGGCTGGTGCTTTCGGCTTCATACCAGTGCAAGCACAAAGCCGAAAATAACAGCCTGAGGATGGCGAGTGGGACCTCGCCGAAATGTTGCCAAGATACTCTTAATCTTACACGGGAAAAGACCTGAACACACCTAGACCTACATACCTGTACCCATGAAAATCTACAAAAACAAATTATGTATGTATGTATGTATGTATGTATGTATGTATGTATGCATGCATGCATTCATTCATTCATTCATTCATTCATTCATTCTGATTACTCTGGAAGCTCTAACACACCGTTTCCATTAGTGCAAGGAATTTTACCTCGCCTCCCAACAATACCACAAATGATACACAAAAGCAAAAAGAACATGATTCCTCAGGGTACCTATAAGGATCGTTGATAATGCCTCTGTAGATCCACTTCTCCAATATCTCAAAGTATGGAACACTGGCAGCTTTGGTTAAATAGAGGCACAGCTCCTGGGCTTGGCTGTCCCCTGTGTAATTGAATGTTTTGTCATGGAGCAGGCTGAGGGTTGAACCTCCCATGGACTCGCCCTTGTCTATCGAAGTAGCTGAAAAAAAAAAGATGCAATTTTAAAAACTTCACTGTGAAAAAAATGCAGTTATTATCTGTTGAACCCATCAGTTACCACGAAAGATCTTTCTTCTGCTGAAAGAATCTGCTTGCTATTTCTTGCATAAAGTCCACTTGAACAAATATTCAACTGCAACACTGCTAATCCACTAAACATAATAATTTCAAGAAGACTCACTGAGCTTAGTTGGCTGCATGCTGAAAAACATTGAATACAACTCTCAAATGCCTCAATGTAATCTTAAACATCTTTGAATGTGAGTGGGAATAATTTTACTAGCAGAATAAATGACAGTCAAACTGATACCATCGAAGTACAGGTATAGCTTGTCCTTGATTTATGACTAATTGCCTAATGATTGTTTAACGTTATGGCAGATTTTCCCTGGCAAACTACTTATTACCCGTTTTTGCAGTTATGATGGCCACATACTCCCATGGCTCAATTATGATTGTTAAGTCAAGGATTACTTATAAAAGTGGTTGTTGAGATATAAGTGATCTGCTCAAATTGAGCAGGTTCCATGGTGTAACTGAATTCTTTAAATATGTGTTCATAAGTTTTAAAAGCCTTTTCTTTTTAGCTCAATAGTTCTCAGGGTGATTTAAATTACAATAACTAAAATTATAGTAAGAATGATAGCCTCAAGCCAGTTTATATCAGAGTACAAATGCACAATCTCATTAAACCAGCAGTTTTAACCCCCTGGCTGGAGTCAAAGCATAATTTCTTCCAGTTCTGAAGTTTCAGAGGCCTCTAGCAGACCTAAAGTAAATATATAGAATGGCCCTGTATTTGAAGAACAGGTATTAGTGTAACAGGAATGTAGTTACTAAAAATAGTAATTGAATTAGGATTTTGCTTTAGATCATTGAAGAAGAGAAATGCAGGCAGAAAAAATTCCACTTGATTCGCTAAAAAAACTGGCCACCCTACTTATATAGGTAAATGCTGAAAGATGGTCTAGCAGAAAACATTTCTTACCACCCCAGTAAATCAAAGACAGAAGAATTCCTCACCAAGAGAAGCCAAGATTTCCATGGTCCTCATTGTGGGCTGAATATAAAACCAAAGCTTCTGCAGTGAGAGGAGTCCTTGGCGCTGGAGATGTTCCAGTTGGGTTATCAGGATCATGTACTCTTTAATGAGGGTCCTCATTGCTGCTGCCAATGCATGATTTACTTGTCCATATTCAAAGGAAGATTTCTCTTCTACAAACCTGCAATAATCCAAGCCTTTTGTCTGTATGTATGTATGTATGCAAAACATAAAAACATCCAGCTTTCTTTCATAAATATACAAACAGTATGTCCCACTCTTTTAAACTTCTCTCTGCAGCCTTGGAAATCCTCTCCTGGGAACTCCATCTCAACTCCAACCCTGCTTAGTTTCCATCCTAGACAAGCCCTCTCCCAGGTGTGCTCTGGGAATCCAAGGACTGGTTCTGCCCCCCCCCCCCCAATATCTGACTTGAGCAGAGCAGGCACGGGGGGGGGGGGGCAGGGAGGCGGCAGAGTGGAGGGGCTCCTGGGTTTTTTGCCTGAGCTGGGTGAAGATCATCCTGGTGGGCCCAAAGGGTGGTCTTTCAGATTGCTTTATTGATTAACAGGACACTTCCCTGAACCCCCAACTCCCTCCAGTGGGGAGGATGGCGTCTTGCTGAGCCCAGGAGAGATGATGGTTGTGCTGCAGGGAAGAAACACCCCCCCTCCAAAAAAAGCCTCTTGGGGAAACGTAAATGAATAAACTCAAAGGGTCTTAGGACAACCCCCCGCCCCCCCAGGTAAATTGCACCAACAAAAGAGAGGTGGCAGAAGAGCAGGGACCTTCAGGTTCAGAAACTCAGTTAAGCACACTTCTTCTTCCCTCCCTGCCCTCATTTCACATTGCCTTTGATCACAAAGCAGATCTTAATAATAAACAACCCTTTTGTAACTTACCAACTGCATGCCGGGGTGGGGGGATATCTGAGGGGATGGAGGGGACGAAGAAGAGCGGCTGGCTCAGGAAGCAGAAATGCAGCGGGAATCTTGGGGTCGTGTGATATTTATTCTGACAACAGCATATGTATCATATTGCTTGAGTTTGCAGTTGCATGGAGTTTGCAGTTGCATTGAGTTTGCAGTTGCATTGAGTTTGCAGTTGGGAACCTGACGCATAGGCACGCCTTGCCCCGAAGCGGCTGGGGACTCTGCCTTCAAGGGAGGTTTCGTCGGCCGATAGAAGAGGCCTCACAGCGAGGGTAATGTGTGTGTGTGTGTTCGCCCAGAGGCTGCTTCTACCGGCCGATCGAAGTGCCTGGTGATTGCCCTTGGAGAGCTTCCATCGCCTGAAAGACACTGCCTAATGGCGAGGGGACACGAGCAGCTATGCCTTGCCCCGAAGCGGCTGGGGACTCTGCCTTCGAGGGGCTTTTATCGGCCGATAGAAACAGCCTCGCGGTGAGGGGAGTGTGCATGTGCGCTCGCCCCAAGGCTGCTACTACCGGCTGATCGAAGTGGCTGGTGACTGCCCTTGGGGAGCTTCCATTGCCCAAAAGACACTGCCTAATGGCGAGGGGACATGGACAGCCATGCCTCGGCCCGGAGTGCCTGGGGAGCTTTCATCGGCCGATAGAAACGGCCTTGTGGAGAGGTACGTATGTATGTGCCACTCTAGGTTGGGGAGGAAATTAAGTCACCCCTGAAAAGACGGCCTAGCTGTTTTTTCAGGGGTCAAAAAAAAAAGAAAAGGCCTGGCCTTATTTTGTGAGAAACACGGTATGTATGTATGTATGTACGTATATGTGTGTGCATGTATGTATGTATATATGTGTGTGTGTCTCTCTCTGTGTGTAAGAACAAACAGTAGGCTGGTTTATTAGCTGAGCCTGGCTTTCTAGAGTTGTTGCAAGAAGCACATAAGAAATGGACACTTACATCAGTCTCCCCTGGTGACATTTTAAGAAAATTGCTAGTACCTGGATATTATGGAGTAACTTGCAGCAACAGGGAGGATTCTAGTGACCAATTCCTTAACAGACATATCTAGATTGGGATCCACTAGAAAAGTACGAGTCTCTCTACCAACAAGGGGTTGTGCTGTGATGTATCTGCCATCCACACCTATCAAAACATACAGCAGGTCTTCTACAACTGCAGACTCTTGGGCTGCCAATGGTAATGTACCTGATGAGGAAATCAAAGATACATGTTACTTTGGAGAAGGGAAAAACAAACAAATAATTTTCAGGCTTCTGGAGGATCAAGTTTTTATATTAAAGGCATCCAATTAAGATTCAAAATAATCTTCCCTAAATTGTTGAAAAGAATAACGTACACAAATTAATTAACATCTCTAACTTTACATCCCAGTTCCTTTGAGGTACGCTAGCAGGAACTGGATGTTACTAACATACAGAGTGAATGTTTAAGTGCTAATGAAAGGTTCCAGCCAAACAATAGATTGGTATTGAGCTTCATGATTAGAGTGGTCTCTTACAATCCACCATTTTTACTCACCTATTGGCACAGTTGTATCTGTACTTAAACTAGAGCCAGAGAGAAAGTCTCCAATAAGAGCCGGTCTCTCATACACCCAGGAAGGGAATGACGGGATAGGCTCGCCAGAATTTTTCTTGTTCTGCTTTTCTCGGAGTGCTTTTCGTATAAGTTCAAGAGGCTGCCAAAGAAAAATGAGACATGAGCATTCTGTGAGTTAAATGTCTACCAAACTAATACAAGCAACCTTTTTGCCACACAAAGAGATGAGACAAATTGGTTCTTTGTCACAGCAGTATGAAATATTTTAGTATTTGATTTACTGCACGGCCAAGAGTGATGATATCCATCTTTACTTGAGCAGACAAAACATTTCTTAGCCTCCACCCCACTCAACCAGTTAATTTCATCCAGTCTGTATTAACTTCACATTCCACAATCAGCTCAAAAGTTGTATATATAACATTGATTAGTCTACTCTAAGCATCCACAGCCACAGTACAAGGTCATCAGAAAATGACTGAAGTGCCAGGCTAGTTTATATGGGAAGAATCATTCCTCAAGCCATTCAAGTCTGGCATGTGGCTATTCGGGGCTTTAAAAATCAACATCAAGATACTGAACTGGGTTAGTGGCCAGGAAGTTAACAGAGTACTAGATAAGTAACTTGTAAGAAACATTTCAGGGTTATTTTGAGTAGCTAAAATTGCCAAGGGATAGCTTACGCGTAACATTTTGCAGTATCCACCCAATAATTTACTAGCATATAATTTCCCTGTGATTCCTTATAATTTCTGATAAAATATAATATGGAATAACCCCAACTTTTGTTTCTTGATGGGAAATAAGTTCTTCATTCACAATATATTTATTCATTATGTTTCTATTATAAAGATAGTTTTTAACAATTATTTTATTTGCAATCTCTCATATCACCCTTTAACATCAAAACAATTCCACTAGATGTTTTTGGCAATAACCCGTTGACTTTCAAATAACATTCCACAACTTTCTTAGAAAGAAGCATCTATTAGCAAAAGTGAAAAAATTTAAATCTGGGAAGAAACTTATGAGTTTTTATTTTTCTCTCCAAAATAATTATCTTATTTTAAAAAAGAAGAAAAAAGCTTTCCCTCTCCAATGGTTCCAGTCTTTCTAAAGGTTTTCTAGTTAAGAGGTAAATCACAACTGCTTACTAGAAAAATAGATTTCACTGCCTACACCTCAGTAAATGTGGAACCATAAAGAATATGCAAGGCCCTTTGGATTACATGATTTGCATACAGTAAATAAACAAAGGAAGAACTTCAGAAACCTGCTGTGAGCTGGAGCCAGTTGTCACAGTGCCCAATTGTTTCCGTAACTCCTCCAGTTCTTGAACAGTCATTTTGGAAGTTGTTGAGGGGACAGAGAAAGTGAGGCTGCTGCTACCACTGTTACTGGCTGCTGCACTTGCTGCAAGTTCTGCCCTTTCCTTTGCATTCTGTTGTAAGTATTGTAAAGTCTGAAAATGGCCCAAAAAACAGAATTTAGAAATAACGAAGGCTTCAAGTTATTCACATGCACAATATTGATTTCCTGATTATTTGCTGAACTTACTATACCTCTGGCTACCAACATATCTAGGCATCTACTTGCATTTCTGACAATTCCCTGAAACCTATTATGGAATTTCGGTATGTATGGCAACAAGAGTTTGTTCTCTTATCCAGATGTTCTTGATTCTAGCTTATGGCGAGTGCTGATTAATAACTTCACTCAACTTCTGAGGCATCCTTGAATAAGATGTCTACTTTTTTTGTAGAATGGCATTTATTCCCTTTGTGCAGAAGACCCCCTATATCATTTAAATGGATTTCAGTGATAGGGAAGCAGATTTTGGTTGGACATCAGAAAAATGGTAAGAACTGTTCAACAATGGGACAAACTATCTTGAGAGATGGTAGATTCTCCTTCTCTAGAGATGTGTAAATAAAGACTTGTTCACTGTCACTCAGTTATGCTATATGATTGGATAGCTGACTGGGGTCTCACTAGATCAGAAGTCTCCATTCTCTTCAGCTCACTGACTCTCTCATGAAGTTTCAGATTCTTCAAGCACACCCCAAACATTTATTATATGAAAATAATGGAATAAATACCACTTTAAGTAATAGCACTACCATACAAATAATAGTAACAACCACAAGGGATAGTTCTATTGAGGGTTGATACTAACCACTTTGGGGAACCCTGGACTCGGAGAGATAATTTCCAATATCTCTTTCATCCCCTGCATTTTGTGATCATCTCCAATTGAAAAGACCTCCGTATTACATTTAGAAATTATTCTGTACATGGATTTGGAAAATTAATGCTACTTAACCCAGACTTTTATTTTGCTTTGCTGTATTCCTCAACTCAATTCTGTTAGTTTGAGAATGCAAGAGATTTCCTTATTTCCTTACTTTGTGGATCCCACTTTGTGGATCCCACTGCACAACCATGATTGGTCTTGACTCCTTTAATGCTTGGTCTCCTATTCTTACCAACACAACTAGCAAAAAACTAAAATGGTTTTTATGTGGGCTTTCCAAAGTAAACCTACCTCTTTGTCTTCTGTAAGCTTGGACAGCAAACACACAAGTGAGTCAAGATGTCTTGTGTTCTTCGATTTCAGTTCATCATATTTGTTTAAGAAATCTTCTGGAGTCCGTGAAAACTCTGCAATTTTAACCTAGGAAATACATGTTTTTATTTACTTTTAAAATTTTAATTAATTTACAGTATATAGTCGCCCAATTTGAGCAATGTGACTTTGGATGGTGTACAAAAGCAACCAAATAAAGAAAAACAATCAATAACTAGTATTGTTCAATGAGTATCAGTATTGTTCTAATAGTATCACAAGAGGAAAAAAACTACTCAAATATATATCTGTAAACTTCCGAGTGCTTTTCGACTTAACAAAGCCTGTTTCCTCTGGCATGAACTATGATCCTGTGGTGGCAGAAAAAAAGCTGCCATAGATTTTCCCCCTCTGACTGTATTATATATTCATACCCACCAGACTATTCCTCTCTGGGGTAAACAACATTATCCCCCCCCCCCAAAAAAAAAGAAAAAAGAATGAGATAGCCAAAAAAGTTAAAGACATAAGATAAAGAAACCAACATCACTTACCACATCTACCCATGTTTCTTCTATCTTGGTGAAAACTTCCTTGCTATCATCTCTGTAAATTATTTTGATTCCTATCCTGAGCAGGGGATTGAACTTGAGGGTTGAATAACTCCACATGGCTCTATGAATTTGGATTTACCTAGCTCACTCTGCGATAAAATGTGGTCAGGAAGGCCAGCAAATATGAACACAAATTTCATATTTTGAAGACCAGCAGCTCTTTTAAGGCCAGGTGTGAACAAATAAACCTGATAAACCTAGAGGGTAGCTGCTAGATTGACAGCAGACTCCATCTCTCCTCCCTTTTTCTCTCTGTTCTCCACCCATTCTTTTTGGTTATCATACTACTGTATCTGTATTCTTTTGTAATTATTTTATTCTATTATTTTAACTTGTGTTTACTCTCCTTTTTCTTCCTTTTTATGATTGTGAGTAGCTCCATGGCGAGATAGGCGGCAAATAACTTTAACAAATAACAACTAAATAAATAAACCTGCAAAAAATATAAATATATATAAACATTTCCATTGAGCTGCAAAATCCTGGAAGCAGGGTGGGAGAGGAACCTCTTACGAGCCATTGGGACCCAGAAGAGCTTTGTGGCTGTCTTCATTTCATCAGATCTTATGCAGGGGCCAGTCGACCTTTTCAAAATTGATTGCAAAACCAGTTGGACCCTTAAATATTACTATTGTGGAGGAATAGCGGGGTGGATCTTTGGAGCCATCGGAGGTTTATTTACTTCAAAATATCTCATTCCTTCCCTCCTATATAAAAATAGCTTGACTCAGCCTTCCATCCTTCCAAGATGGGTAAAATGAGGACCCAGATTGTTGGGGGCGATATGCTGACTCTGTAAACCGCTTAGAGGGGGCTGTGAAGCATTGGAAAGCGGTATACAAGTCTAAATGCTATTGCTAAAAAAAGAAGAAAAAAGACATTTTGCTACCAAATTAGATATTCCCAGGCCGGAAAGGACTCCGCTGGTCCCCATCTTCCACCACCCCCCCTGCCATTTCCGACCCCCTCCCGCCCTCGGTCTCTCCCGGCCGATCCACCTTGGCTCCGAGGGCTGAGGCGGTGGTGGTGAGATAAGGGGCGCGGTTCTTCTGGAGCAGGTCGATGTAGACCTCCGCCCCTTCGCCGCTGCCCCGCACTCGCAGCAGGCTGAGAAGCTCGTTCACGTCGTGATGAATCCGAAACTCGCTCATAATGACGAGAAAGCAGCCTTCAGGTCTTCAGCGGGGCAGACACAACAACCCTGCAAGGCAGGGCCATGCCGTTAGGAGCAAGGCGCCCAAAGCTCCACCTGTTCTAGCCCGTCCTCTCCCGTCTCCCAGCAACCATACTCCGCACGACCCGGAAGCGGAAGCGCGGGTGTGCTGGTTTCAAGGGAGAAAAGCAGCGGCGGGAAAGGATGGCCGGCGGTGGTGAGAGCGGTCCTTTCCGTTTCCGCCCCGCCGTGATCCGCTACCCGGCGGACCATCCTTTCTTCGAGGTAGGGAGCCTCTTTGCTCTGCCTGCCGAGCTGAGGGTTTGCTTGCCTGGGAAGCGGGCCGGCGCTTTTCTTTCCTGCGCCTGAAGCGATGGCTGTAAATTAGTTTGGGTCCCCAAACTTCGCCTCTTTAAGACTTGTGGACTTCAACTCCCAGAATTCCCGAGCTAATATGACTGGAGGAGGAATTCTGGGAGTTGAAGTCCACAAGTCTTAAAGTTTCCAAGTTTGGAGACCTCTGCTGTAAATCCTGTTCTCTTCCTCTCCAGGACGGAGACGTCCACCGGCATATGTACCTCCAAGGTCTCCTGGAGAACATCACGACGGACACGGAAAGGCCCAGGTGAAGATTGGGAGAGGGGTCTGCAGAAGTGCCTCCTTTCCTGTGAGTGCACAGGTGACATGGGGAGTGGAGGAGTCTGGGCCTTTGCCCCCCCCCTCCCCTCACCCAATAAAGACCTCTGTTTCCAAAGGCAGGATATTTAAAATCTTTTTTAAAGAAGAGACTGGACAACCATTTGTCTGCAATGTTGTAAGGCAGGGGTGTCCGGCCTTGGGAACATTGGGATTTGTGAGCATCAATTTCCAGAATTCCCATGCCAGCACAGTTGTCATAAATTTTGGAACTTCAGATTACAGATTAATAGAATTGAAAGGGACCTTGTAGGTCATCTAATCCAACCCACCCACCCTGCCCAAGCAGGAGACCCTGCTACACCAAGGGTCTTCAAACTTGGCAAGTTTAAGACTTGTGGACTTCAATTCCCAGAATTCCTGAGCTAACATGACTGGAGGAGGGATTCTGGGAGTTGAAATCCACAAGTCTTAAAGCTGTCAAATTTGAAGACCCCTGCCCTACACCATTTCTGACAAATGGCAGTCCAATCTCTTCTTGAAAGTCTCAAGGGATGAAGCTCCTGCAACTTCTGTTCTGTTGGTTGATTGCTCTCATTGTCAGAACAAGGTTTCAAGGTTGGATACTCCTGATGTAGGGTCCCCTGCTTGAGTAGGGGGTTGGAGTAGAAGACCTCCAAAGGTCTCTTCCAGCTTTGTGGATTGTCCCAAAGATGCTTTTTTCAAGAGGCAACTGGATTTTCTTGCTTTTCTTTGAAGATGTTTCACTTCTCATCCAAGAAGCTTCTTCAGCTCAGAACCGCTTGAAAAAGCACCTTTGGGACAACCATTTACTTGGATGACCGAGAATCTTCTTTGACAACTTTGTGATTCTTTTATCTCCCTCCCTCCCTTCCTCCCTCCCTGTTGCTCCTGCATTATAAAATTTTCAGCAGAAACAAGCTTGTCCATAAGAGAGAGTTACATTAAATGCCTCAAACTGCCTCACCTTTTACTGTATAGCCACGATGATGGGGATGATTCTACTCTATTTGTATTGTTCCTTTAGTAACAAGTCTCCCAAAGCAACTTTCAACCACTGTAAAGACTAAATAAAATTGCACTAAATAAATAAGCACAACCTTTCTAAAATGTCGCAATTTGGTACAGATTTGTTTTCTATGTTTCCTTTCAGAACCTCTGAATTTTCTTGCCAAGTTGGTGGATGCAGCCAGGTTTTCAATACCTTGGAGAGCTATGAACATCATTACAACATGCTGCACAGGAATGTGTGTTCTTCTTGCAAGCGAGCCTTCCCTTCAACACATTTGTTAGATGTTCACATTTTGGAGTGGCATGATTCCCTCTTCCAGATAATGGCAGAGAAGCAGAATATGGTAAATGTCCATGAGACCTATAGATTGCCTGCTATTCAGTAGGTTCAGTACAAGCATAAGTCTAGTTATATTAACAGTTGCAATATTTTTGTAATCAAGAATATTACCATCATAATCACCATTGTTTGGTTATAAAAAATCAACATAAGCAGTGCTTACTTGTAGTTCATTTTTCTCTTGGAGATTGAAAACAGTAAAATGCTTTCTGCTTAGTTCACTTGATGGGTTCAACAATTATTGTTAGCTCTGTCAGCTGCTGACACTAAGACCATCCTAAAAGTTGTTACTTGAGTTGGGAAGATTGAACTTATGTTCAATAGCATAGCATAGCATAGCATAGAATTCTTTATTGGCCAAGTGTGGTTGGACACACAAGGAATTTGTCTTGGTGCAAATACTCTCAGTGTACATCAAAGAAAAGATACATTTATCAAGAGTCAAGAATCATAAAGTACAACACTTAATGATAGTCATAGGGTACAATAAGCAATCAAATCATACTAGGAAACAGTCAATATAGATTGTAGGGATACAAGCGACAAAGTTACAGTCATACAGTCATGTGGGAGGGGATGGGTGATAAGGAGTGATGAGAAGATTAATAGTAAGAGTAGTGCAGACTTTGTAAATAATTGAACAGTGTTGAGGGAATTATTTGTTTACCAGAGTGATGGCATTCAGGAAAAAAACTGTTCTTGTGTCTAGTTGTTCTGGTGTGAGTGCTCTATAGCAGAGGTCTCCAACCTTGGCAACTTTAAGACTTGTGGACTTCAACTCCCTAGAGTTCCTCAGCTACCTTCGCCAGCTTCAACTCTGGGAGTTAAAGTCCATAAGTCTTAAAAGTTGCCAAGGTTGGAGATCCCTGCTCTATAGCATTGTTTTGAGAGCTGGATTTGAAACTGTTTATGTCCAGGATGTGAGGAGTCTGTAAATATTTTCACAGCCCTCTTTTTGACTCGTGCAGTGTACAGGTCCTCGACTGAAGGCAGGTTAGTAGTAATTGTTTTTTTCTGAAGTCCTAATCACTCTCTGAAGTCTATGTCTTGTTGGGTTGCAGAACCAAACCAGACCGTTATAGAGGTGCAGATGACAGACTCAATAATTCCTCTGTAGAGGAATTATTTGTAACAGTGGACTTGTAACTTCAAAAGTAGAACACACAATACTGATCAATCTTCTTATTGGTTTTTCGGCCTCTTTGCAGTACCAGTGTTTGGTAGAGAGCTGTCCAGAGAAATTCAAGAGCAGCAAAGATCGCAAGGATCATTTAATCACAGTTCATCAGTATCCATCTGATTTTCGTTTTGATAAATCCCTGAAAGCACAAAGGTAAACATGTAAATGTTTACATGGAATGTACATTAGAGATGTTCCTCATTGCTCATTAGAAATGTTGTGATCTATGAATTCTAGAAAATCTAAAATTTAGAAGACCAGTTCCTAGTTATGATTACTGTTGATATGATCATTCTGTATTTTTCTTGGAAGAAAAAAAAAATCTGTATTGACTTGATTAGTTAAATTAGTCTAAGAGAGAGTGACTGACCCATAGTGAGATGAATGGCATATAAACGTAATAAAAATAAATAAATGAGGAATGAATGCAAATATTAGTGTCCCAGGATAATGTTGTAGAATCCAGTCTGGGTCAGTCACTGGGACCAGAGGTTTAGTTTCCCAAGCTTTCGGATTTGTGCTGGAGCCCATTGTCAGGGAACTTCTTTCTCACCAGAATGTGAGAGAAAATAAAATAAATGCGTTTCGTGGAAGAATACAGATCCGAACTTAGCTTTCCCTGCTCAAAGACCAAGCTAAATCACTACCAATAATGTTTTCTCTATGGCTGCTTAAAAGGAAGAAAGAGCATCCCTGAGGACTGGCATAGACGTTAAAGCCTTTCTACAATGTTCTTGCCATCTATTTTTCAGTATTTTGACTGAGCTAAATTTCTGCAATAGGAAAGAGAAAATGAGGCCTTCATCAAAAGAAAGCAATGTGCCAATGGATATGAATATGGAAGACTCAGAACAATCACATGCTGAGGTCATGGAAATGGATCCAGATGAGCGTATAATGGAAAGTGACTTTCAGTCTGAGACAGAGTGTACTGTGGACTCCCCAGCATTTGGAAAACGGCTCTATAGATCAAGGTTGGTGGCTTTGCTTTTTTCAGATGGCAACAAGCTGAAAACAGGACGCACAGAGGCCGAAAATGGGCATGGAGGCAGCGATAGATGGCAGCAGCAATCCCTGCAGCCTGGAACAACTGATTGTCGGTATTCCGGGAGGCTGATCCAACCGCCAATCAGCTGTTCGTGTTAAATCAGGCTGTGCTGAAGCTGACCAGGCCGTTTGCTGCTTGCTGCAAGGAGGCAAATTGCTGGGAGGCAGAGGCCGAAGGGTGGGGGCAGGCGAGTGGGCAGGGCTTTGGCAACATTGGCTCTATAAGACGCACAGACATTTCCACCCACTTTGGGGAGGGGGGGGAAGTGCATCTTATAGTCCGAAAAATATGGTAATTATGCTCAGATCAGAGATAGTTAAAGGAAAAGAATTAATTCTGTCTTTAAGCTAATTGCTGACCACACCGGGTGTGTGTGAGGGAATCTGGCAAGACTCATGCAGGATCTGAAGCATTTTTTTTTCCTCTTTAGGTCTGCATACTGCAAAACTACTATTGTCTTTGAACTATAGGGGACTATAGAATTGTTTAGAAATACAAGAAACTTTAGGATAGGGGTCCCCAATCCCTGGGCCATGACCCACTGCCGGGTCTTGAACCTTTTGGAACAGGACTGTGGAAGTGGTGGGCACCTACACGGGCAGCAGGTGACCAGGCTGGGACGGGCTTCATTTGTGCAAATGGCAGCTTTGTGTGCCCACCACTTGCACAAATGGAGCCGTGTATCTGTGGGACCATCCCTTCTCTCCCTGTCCCCTGCTGCTCCGCAAAGCTGAAAAAGTTTGGGAACTCTGCTTTAGGAGGACTTGTTAGCCTGTATTTAGTTCTTTATTATATTACTATAATATAACTAAGCCAGGTTGTGCTCTTTTTGCATTTTTGTCTTTCAGAATCCCGCCGACTATT